TAGACACTTTTGATTAGGTAAATCAGAAATATTTTTTCATGGATTATCAGGGTACTGTGAAAACACTTATGCTGGGCTACAAAACACAGAGAGCTTTCAGAGGAAAAACAGTATATTCTTTCATTTTTCCATTATCAATTCTGTAAGGTTTTTCCCAAGATAAAATATATGAATTTATGACACCTAAATAGATCAGGATCCATCTATTTCATTATTATGGCTGAATGGAAACTTTATGACAAATATAGCTTTAACTGCAGACGTTAAAATAATAATAGCCATGGCTCTAATAGCATTTATTTCAGGCTGAAAGCACAGGCACTGACAGGCACCACACCAAAGCCTGCATGATAGAATAAGAGCAAATCAGCCAGCCTGAAGACATTAGTCAGTAAATAATGTACTGTCTGAAATATCTATATCTACCAGCAATAGATGAACTATAATTCTTAAACTATTCCCCTAACAATGAAAGAGCCACATCTAGGAAACATTGCTTGACTATAAACATGATTCCTCTAATTTATCTTCATAAGTAGACAACAAACAGCTAATAGAATTGGCTAGAAAAAGGAAGAAAAAAATAATGGTAATTTTGTTAATGTAACTAACTTATAATACCACTAGGGGGCAGGAATTGCGTAAGAATGTCTGATTCAATATTTGCAACTGTGCAAAATTAAAATGTTTTACTGGAGCATGTAAATGACTTGTTTCGTTTTAAATTTGATTAAGAGCCACATTTTTTATCCAAAGAAGTGAAATCATTTAATGAATATGGATTTAAAAAAGTAAAACCTTTTAAATTTAGCTTACTGAGCCAAGACGTTCTGATTTGTGTCCATGTGGATTCGTCCTATAACTTCAATTGATTGCAGAAGAAAAAATTATGTATTTACACAACATACAGTTGTGTTTGAAAGTTTACATACTCTCCCATTAAAGAAAATTAAAAATTCAGATTAGTAATTCAAATAACACAAACATTAAATCATAATAAAGGAATAAATATGAACTACATTATAATTTAGTAAAATTGAGGATAATTTGAAAAAATAATCAAAAATAAAAAGTCCCAGACCAATTAAAGTACATTGCTCATGAACGGTGAACTTGTCAAAAGGTTTATAAGTCTGACTGAACATTTCAGAAAACACCTGATTTCAGAGAATGCCTAAAAATGTTGCTCAATAAAATTTCAGCTTCACTTGTCTTATTTATTAATGGATACATACAGAATATTTATAGCCTTTTTTCCCTGTGATTTTTTGACGTTCACCCAAATATCAAATTTTTACTCATCTTGTCTTGGTATACTAAAAGCATTTTTTTTTTCTTGTGAAAGTCCCCCTAAACTATTTCAAGAAATATCTTTCTTAATTAGCACCACCTTAATTTGCAATAGCCCCTCCCCTTTTACATCATAAGGTAACGCTACAATCCCATTCTGCAAAGCTTATTATTATTGCCCTGTGATGTGTGCAGGCATGCACATTTAATGAGGGGTAGACTTTTATCTTGGTGCATCCGGGCAGAAACTCACTCTTGGTTTTGACATACGGGTTCTCTGCAGACTTCATTTGTGCTGCTGACAGTCTCTCATCCCAGGGTCGCAAACTCACTGGATTTGCAGTTGTACCGTTTGAGGGCTCAGAACCAGCAGCTCAGCGCCTGTGATGGTGCAGGGCTGCAGCCGTCCTCTGCAGACCGCAAACAGCATCTGGGCGAAGCTTGCAAGGTAAGACATGCTTTACTAACTATAACATACATTCTAAAATAATCTCAGAATTATCAAAGCTACTGTCTATTTACTGTCAAAGTAAATTCTCTGCATTAAGATACAACTTTAAAAACTTAATTGATTTTTGTTGCAGTCTATGTAGAAATGACTAAAGATGCACAATTTTTACTTTTTGATACTGTTTTCCAGCTGGTTTGAGGTGTGACCTGTTGATGCAAATTTTGATTTTTTTTTTTTTTATTAGCACATGAAAAATAAATGTATATGTTCTGTGGGTTATTTTGCGTCCTAGAGATTAAATGGGAAAAAATGTTTTAAATCAAAGTTGGAATGTCTCCTCAATGTGTAACATATATTTATGAAACAGCTTAGGAAATTAAACATGCAATTAGTCATTGTGTTCATTTAAAGGAGTGGGGGTTATTTAAAAAGTTTAATTTAATGACTAGAGGGGGGCAAATTGTGATTTTTCAGTATTTCACATCCTAATCACTAATTAGAGCCAATAAAAAATAAAAAAAATGAATGAATGAATGACTAATTACACTGTGCATAGTTTCCTTTAACCAGTGTAGTTATTTATCAGATATCAGTGCTCAGTAATTAGACATAGTTGACTGTCTCCCATACATGTGATTTTTTGGATTCATTTATTTTTTTTTATATTTATGCTCATGGGATATGAGACTTTTGCAGAAAACTGTAGTGTTGTTATGTGGCTGTGCCTACCACTAAGAAAAATTAATGTAACAGAACATTGTTTGGAGATTTTGATCATTATTTTATTAATTGTCAATCGGGATCATAATAAATAATTAGCTGTCATTTCATAAGAATTTAGCATCCCATCATTCTCTAATAAAGGGTGAGATAGAGGTATAAAGTTAGATGCTGTGAATTTTAAAAGTACAGGAAATGTCCTTTTACTGAAGATTAAAACTTTTAATGGAATCAGTTTGTAGTTGATTGCCTTATTGGTAAACAAATAAAGCCTGTATTTAATAAAATAATAACAATAGAACTCCAGGGAAACATTAAATTAATTTGAGATCATAGCAGAGCAAGAAAAAAAAAACATCCGATCCCTTTGTGGCACAAGTCCAAACCAAATGAAAATTAGTGATGTATAGTGAAAGTTGGTTGCCATGCCAGAATATAGATGTTTGCTTCTTTGTAGCTTTGCATCTACAAGTCCAGCCATGCTTGATGTGCACCTGTGTGTTAGAATATCTGTCTGAGCTGAGAGACTGACACCAAGATGGGCAAAGATAGCTTCATGAAATCCTGAGTTTCATGAATTGCCTCTGGCATCGTCTGTGCGTGCAAATGCTTGTAGACATAACATTTACAAAGTTGCATGTACTTTGTCTTTACAAAGCTCTGAGCATAAACCAGAAGACAAAATTGCATAAATATAAACATAAAAAACATGCAATTTATATAATTTTTGTAATGCAAGGAAGAAAAAAAAAATCACAAGGTGAGGAAAAATGTGAAAAACACAGCTGAGAATAACAGTGAAAGAAACTGAGAAGACAACACCAGAGGGGTTTATTAAGTCTCAAGTTGGCTCCCTTCTTCTTTGTGCAAGTTTCTTGATTATACCTAAAATATTCTTC